CTTGGCAGTTCGGGCATAGACGGACTGTCTCTTCCGTGTCCTGCCGTATCCCTAGCCACCAAGCGCGGGTCCGTAACACCCCGCGGAGACCTGGGTGTCCGAGGTGTCCGTACTCGTCGTGCATTCTCTTCAGGAAGTCCTTCCTGAAAGGGGGTTCCAAGTATGGGGCGGATGACCCGTCCCCATGTAGGAAGCGCAGCCTTGTGTTCTCCCCCTGCGTGGCGGCCGCTGGCAAGGGGGATTCGTGTATTGCTAGCCTGCTAGCCCAGCGCGTCACTTCCTTCCGGAGCATCTTGTCGCTTGGTAGGCTGCCAGCCGACAGATACTGAATGGTGACCGCGTAACACTCTGCTTCGTCAAACCCGCCTACCTTGGTCATCAGGTTCAGCTTTCCCCGAGTGGGTGTTCCTTGAGCCATATTAGCTGGTCCTTCTCCGATAAAGTCAGGGCGTCGGCTGATAGCATCAGGTACGACTGCTTCTTCTCCCTTCCTATATCTCAGTTCGAGGTTATCCTTGGAACTCGTCGATCCAACGCGCGAGGCGTTTGCTGTAGGCCCGGATTGTCGCTAGGTACTGGAGACCCTCATGGTCGGTGATGATGGTGGTCTTTGTTCCGTTCTCCAAGTACCTGTCCCAGGTGCGCAGTGCTTCCTTGATCGCCAGAAGCTCTTTCTCATGCACCGGGTAGTTTAACTCTGCCCCTCTTAGTTTGCGACCGTCAAAAGCGACTGGGTGCATCTTCCCGTCCTGGCCTTCTTGGCCAAGCAAGAATCCAATCGCCCACTCGGACGCGTCGGTTTCGATTGTGAAGGGCTTTGTTCGGTTGGGCTGGACAAGAACAGGGGCGCTAACAAGCGCTTCCTTCAAACGCACAAAGGCCACCTCGCACTGTTCGGTCCAGGTGATAGGACGGAATTTCTGCTTGCGCAGCTCTTCGTCGGCCTCCTTCGTCAAGTTGTGTAACGCCACCGCTATTTTTGCGAAGTCCTTGACGAAGCGTCGGTAGTACGTGGCCAGTCCTAGGAAGCGGCGCACTTCGTTGACGTTTGTGGGTCGGGGCCAGTCCTTAATCACCTCCAGCTTCATCGCGACCGCTTTCACCTTGCCGTCCCCGATGATGTGGCCGCAAAATTCCAGTTCCTTGGTGACAGATACGCATTTCTTCGGCTTGGCGTAGAGTTTCTGTGTCCGCAAGCGCTGGAGCACTTCTTCTAAGTGCGTATAGTGCTCGTCGAGTGTTTGGGAGTATACCAGTATGTCGTCCAGGTATACAACCACCGACTTACCAAGGTATGGCCGAAGGGTCTCATTCATCAGTGTTTGGAAGGTTGCTGGTGCCCCCTTTATCCTTCCAGTCACAATTGAAGAGCTCGCTCGAGGGTTTGACAGACCTCCCACAAGAACAAGCACGAGTGAGCGACTATATCCCAACACTGAGCATACCATCCGGGATGCAGGACATAAGGCCCGAGTCACACATCACCATATCAAGGGAGGATTTACGTCAGCTGCTCGACGAAGCTTTCACTCGTGCTCGCTTATGCGAGGTTGACGATACACGAGCATTAGTGGACGAGATCATTACAACCAGACGTGATGAGATACGGGGATTACCAGGACAAGATGGTCAAGACGCCCCTCAGAGCGGAGGCCACTGGAAAACAGACGACGTCGGCTACTTTACGCCAGATCCCACGTCAGATGCACTCGTCCACACTGTCAGAGGAACAACATAATACATGAATGTCTATGCCTTTGTCAATCAGCTGAAGGCATTAGTGCCCCTAAAATCTGAGGAAGTAGTTCATGCGAACCTTCCATCCTGCCTACGAGAGGCAGCCGCATGTTGGTATAGTGCAGAACTATCCGACGAAGATAGGCAGGACCTGAGTGTTCGTTCGTTACAACTTGGCTGGTACTCCACTCTCGAAAAACGATTTAAGCCACGAGCCACGTAGGCTATCATCAAGGTGATGGCCCCGTCTTCTGTCTATTCCTGGCGAGATATCCGTGCAGGACGCAGTGTCACGGAATGGGCACAGAACATCCTGCGGGATGCCCAAGCAGCTGAGATAACAGGTACGACGGCAGTGCTCCGTCTAGTGTGGACGCGCATTAAGCCAACACTTCAACGCGATATATGTGAGCCGACGGCAGCCACAACGATCTCCTAATTTATGACAGACCTAGACTTACGTTATGGACAATGGTACGAGATGTCGAAGCGCACTCTGCCACAGCAACGTCCGACACAACCCCAGCCAATGCGCTACCAAGGTCAGCAGCGCTATCCCCATCCCTATGGTCGTACCATTCAGACCCAAGGATATCAACTGCCCTTTCGATCCCGAGACATAGGAACTGACACGCCCCAGCTTACGTGGAGTCTGAACCGTGACCTGCAACGGCAACGAAGAAACACCTACCCACATCCACCAAGCCTACCACAAGGTCAACTCCAGCGGAAATCATACGCACCACCCCAGCTGCAACAACCGTCCCGTCAGCAGCAGTCAGCGCACAACCAATCTCGCACCAACCAGGAAGGTCAGCTATTACTTTCCGACAAACCTTCAAACCAAGCAGCCTCCATTCCAGCACAGGCTATGCAGCACGCCAACCACGCCCTCGACCAACAGCAGCGAACCAAGCAGAACCACAGGAGACCACCCAAATGGCCGGAAAGCCAGCGTCTTTCGAAGCTAATCTTTACCACCACCGATAAGGCTGGTACGTCTCATCCTATCGACGGGCAGCGTAATGGGAAGAGACCAGGTCCGTCCTCCGGTGGAAAAATCAATATGGATAGAGTCTCTGCATGGATGGTGTTTCATTTCTCTATTCACAATTACTGGGATCTTGTGAAGCAAGAGGCTTGTCTCGCTCTGTCCTATGTTAGATTGACTGACGAAGGGATCTTCTACTGCCTATGCACTATGACACCATACCAGCTTAGCTCCCGTTTCCAGGCCGACTTTGACCAACATGGTGACGTTCGCACATCACGTATTCCCTTAGACCCCCCTATGATCATCTGGGCCAATGGTCTGCCTTGGTTCCCTGTCTACAAGGCGTTCTACGTCCTATGTGGAAGCTGGAACCCCGCATCGCACCTGGTCGGAAGAAAGTATCGCTCCAGTACCTCTGAGTTCTTTATCGGTGTCGCCCTGGCCCCAGCAGACGCAGTCCGCGCGGCACTCGAGGATTCCTTGCCACAATTAACCCTACGTGCTTTCGACTCCCTGACATACCCGAGCCCTGACCGCACGAACGGACCAATAGACCTAATCCACGTCGGCACTATCAGCCGCGGCCAAAATAAGATCGCGTGCCGTTTCATCATGAACAAAGACCCGACTTTCTACGTACTAGTGTACAAGACAATAGCAAAGAAAGATCTCACCTACACCCGCCTACATGATTTGAACGGCTTCCACGAGGATATCTGTGACTCAGCCCTCAATTTCTCGCCTAGGTCTTACATTGACGATGACTCGTACGAGGCTTCTTGGCAAAATATCCCTGAGTCAGACTTCCATGAACCTCCTTTCGCTTGTGGAAAACCCTTCCCTGCTAGGGAGAGCCCCACACAAGACGCAGCGAAGCTGAAGCCGATACCATGGAAGGATATGTACGCTATCATCGACTCTTTCGGCAATGAGGCATCCCGTCGTCGAAAGCGCGCCCAGCGAGAGAAGAATAGGCAACAGAATGTCACCTCGGGTTCGCATATCCCCCTCCTGGGGCCGCGTTGCTATCGCACAACCTCTATCCGGCCACTTGCAGAATACAGACCTACGCTTCCGCATTAGCCAGATTAGCGGAGCTCCCGATATTGTAGGTGTGTTGGATCATGAGAACATGATCCGTATGGATCACGTGACCAGTATCGAACTGAACATGTGATCATGATCACATGTTCAGCGTCCCGTTTCTGAGAGACAGACTCTCCTTTTCTCAACAGATAGTTTCCTTTCTTCTTTATGGATATTAGACAGATTATTACAACAATCAATCTCCACATTCTACAGTGATAGGATCTCCATCCAGTAGATGTGCCTTCATCTATTGTAACCGTCAACAGTAAGCCCTGCAGGTAGTAATACATCATCTTTACAACCTTGAATGGATGACTCCATAACATCGACTCTGGCTGAGTTCTCGTTTCATAGCATCATTTATCGTTATGAGCTATTATTCATTGTCTTTCACCCTTAGATCCATTGCCGCGAGGCAGATATAAGTTGACGGGGTCGAACTGGGACCGATGGTTGGACAACTATCCTTTGCGAATAGGCATGTGTGAAAACTGCTAGAAACATGGTCGGGATTCTCCAACAGCATGCTACAGATTGCACACGGGGTCCTCCGTGCACCATACATGGTAACCGACCACGAGTTTGGTGGGAACCTCATGACACTCACGGCTTGACATGCTTCGCAAACTACGTAGCCTTTTGAGACTCACCCAAAGGGTGGTTGAAATATTGCACGAGAGAACATGATCGACCCAAATGCCTCTACCTACAATTATCGTGGTAGTGTTTAGCAATTCTATCTCGCATCATGTGCTGGTTCAATGGAAATGGCGATATATGCCAGAGGCAGAAGATCTACCACTTTTGCTCGTCTTCAAACCAAAAAAAAAAACTGCGACACTCCCTGATTGGAGACGAAACGGTCGAAAAATACAATGGCACCGGATTCTGAGATCTCCATGACTTCACTATACAAACAAGAATTATACATCAACACCTCGTGGTCGAATTGAGATTGGCATTAAAAAGCGTTCATTCGTTTCGTTCCGGTGTGACCGTCTGGTCTTGATCCCTCGTTCACATCCGTTGCTGTTTGCGATGTGCATCGATGGCTGCATCGAACGATCGGATGGTGTCAAGCGGGCGCTCGAGTCGACTGCGTGTTGGGTTGGAGAGATCGGGATCGGCTATCACTAGGTTAGAATGCAGCTCCCATCAAAGACCATCGTGCCCAGCGACTGACTGATGAGCTTTCCATCCCGGTCCTTATGCTGGATGCTTCGGAGGGAGAAGGTATCCCGAGATCCAGGTTGGAGGTTCACAGCCGCTACTTGCTGTCAGTGAGTGTGGTCGACCAAAACAGATCATCTTTGCGGAGATACACACTAGGCTCTTGTTCATGTAGGGCCATGTTGGGGTCGGCCTTGCTTTGGAGAGAAGTCTTGGGGCCATGGTGCGATTTGACCGAGTCAGAGCGCTCGCTAGAGGCCAATGAGGAAGGCATTATTGGCAACGTATGGAGCAAGTATTGGTTGAAATTGATTTAAAAAGGTGTATGTTAGAGAAAGTATCTTAAAGTAGTGGGGGGAGCCTAGTTGATGTCATGGCCAACAATGTAGCAACTGGAAACAAATTTGATCTTAAGTACTCCGTGGATCTCACCCCCCCGGTAGTTTTTTTGGGGTCACGTTCAGACTTTGGTGGACTAAGAATAGACGGCCTGTCTCGAAACATCAAAAATCGAGAGCACGCAAGCCGTCGCAACACCTGTGGATCAGTTGGGGGGATGATGGGACCGATTCTGATCGGCCACTGCAGCTCGTCGCTATAATCTAATTTCGCATGACGTTGATGGCCCATCCGGAGCACTCCCAATGGCCAACCAAGCTTCTCTTTTTGTCCCGCAGAATGCTTCGCATTCTTTGTAGCCAATCAATCCGAATGAACGAGCACTCCGGGGGTCATGCAAACACGGGTGGATAGAATCTTGGGCCGCTCCAGGCACCGGCAAGGATTCCCAGGTACCCGTGTTCTGTTGCGCTTTCAAGCAATCCTACGGAGTACTTGAGGACGACGTGCGTTGCCAAGGTAGCGTTGTACATCAAACTCATGTACGGAGTATGTTGTACTCCATATATCGCGCATATGGATGGAGTAGATACCCCATTGTATGACGACTTGCCTTCTAGGTGGGGATGATCGCCGGTTTCGAAAATGCGACGGGAGCGCCCCAGCATTCTTCCTCCAGGAACAATCGACCACACCCTGCGAGTCATCGGGGCGATGTGGATTCCGCATGGTTTTCCCGGGCCGTGTCAGCTAACAGCTTGTCTGCAAAGCATGTGTCAGGGCTGTATGCTCCTTTTGAGGTAACTTGCACAACACGAAGGGCCTGGAATGAATAATTCAATATGCTTCCTCTAGTTTACGTTAAATACGGAGTATTGCATGGGGTGATAGCGCTCAGACCGTGATCGAGAATGTAAGACATGGCCTCGGAAGGCTGGAGACCGTGAAGACCAGGCAACGCAATTAATCGGATTGGAGAACAGAATCCGACTCAGAGTGGAGCAATGGAGCCAAGAAAAAGATGCACCAAATGTACGAAGTCCAACTTACAGAGGAGAGAGTGCGGAGTACTCCGTCCTCCGTACTCGCAATGCATGACTTCACTGCGATGTCACAGCCCTCTCCAATTCCGGGGATCGCCGCATCTGAAACAGCAACTCCATCGAACATTCTTTTCTTCTCTGCTCGCGGATTTATTTTGGCAAAAGTGGACCGCAAAAGTGGACCCCCAACCCTGGCCGTGATCATGGACTTGTCACATGACTGCATCATTTCTCACGGGTCGCTTTTGTTCGACCTTCCAAGACAAATTTGACCGTTTGCGAGCCATTTGCACCAAATGTCAACAGATGCGGCCCTTTTTTTTTGTTAAAAGAAAACCTCGGAATGCTACGTTACCACTACTTGGGCCTAGGGGCCATTGACGATTCCACTGCAGTGGACGAAACAAACACCGACTACGGCTTATAGACGCAGATTTCCAGCTCGAATCAAACCCAGGTAGATAGTCCTGAGCGTGGGATTGTATCCACCCATTAATTTGGCATCCCCATTGGGAAGGCTATCCGGTCACACTAGACATTCAGACTGTCCTGTTGCTATGGGACCAATTGGGTACCGTCAAGCATCTTCTTGGACCTGGGCAATTTTACTGATGGTTTTTGATGACCTTCTACTCATATTGATGTGGACCGAGTTTCAACCACGGAATTGCTGCTTTTGGTCGGTCTTGACAGCAATACAACCGACAACTGTTGGAGGAGTGCGATCGCTGTAGGAACACCCTCGAGTGCAAGTTTGACCGGGGCGTTCCTGGTAGAACGAGGAGTTCTTTCAACGAAAGCCTGACACTCGTTCGTACTCCCTCATGATTAGCCGTAAAGCCGGCCATACTGTGAGATTCCAGATCACCAAGGACCTTTCGGCTACGGTTGATTGCAGCCATTAAATCGATTCTCTCGCCAATGGGTAGTTCGCGGGGAGGTGACTAGGGCTTTGGTCTTGGCAAGAACCCCCGCACACTGAGATATCTCGTCAAATGCGTAGTCCATGAGCTAACCCAGACAACAGCTTTCGCCACGCCGTTCAAGGTCTTCCAGGGTCTCAGGAAGAGCTCCGTTCTTTTTCAATCTAGGAATCATGTTTGCCCCTGATTGAAGGGCTCGTAAACTCTAAGAATCCTCGAAAGGATAAAAGCAGGGTACGGCCATTCCCACTCGTATGACTCTTCGGGCCCCCCTAGACGGAATAGATGAGATATTCCACAGGAGTGCAGCAGCCATGGGCTCCCCTCTATTGCATTCATTAATTCATAAATGCCGAGCTGGGTTGCAGCTGCAAGAGTGTCATTCGTGCTAACTGTAGCAGGATTCTGGACAGCCGAAGCAAGACAGTACAGGCCCCGGCCGTACCCAGAGACCTCGAACTAAGAGACCTCGAACCAAGAGACCTCGAACCAAGGAAGTTCCACGCGATTGCTGTGGGTGTAATATATGGTTAGAGATACAGCGTCCACAAAATCCCAAAGGGCCCTTTCTGCATGATCGGTCTAGCGCATTGGGAACCAATCCCAGCACACGGTCCTCACCCATAGACGCACGGGGAATCGTGGGGTAATGCTGTGCGTTTTTGTACGGTGACCAGTATCATACTTGATGTTGATAATTGCATTGTGAGGGATGTGGTTAGCTGTCAGATGGAGCCATCGTCCTCTTTTGAAATTTGACCTCGTCACTCTTTGTCTGCTCGTTAATACTCAAGGATTGATTTTGACCAAATTTCAGTTCCAGTCACCTCTGGGGCCTCATATCGGCATCTCTCATCCGGTTTTTGTCCCATTGTGATTTCACTGCAGTACATACAACCCATATGAAGCATTCCAGCTAGGAAAATGGCTTCCCTGGTCTTGGGGATCTGAGCTAGCATTTCTTTTGGGAAGCGCGACTCCCGGCCAACTAACCGTTGCCGGAGGATTGGTCGAGCTTCATTGTCCAACTTGAATCGACCAGATAGACGCTGACTGCATACCATTTCCTGCACTGAAGATAAAACTGACAGTAAATTCCATTATCCCAACATCTGAGAACACCATGCATAACCTAGTCGGTTGGACCATTCCAATCACGCAAGGAACGTTGACTGCTGCTGGTGTGCCGGATATTCCAGAAGGTCCCATGCGCTCGCTTTCCTGAAAGTCTGCGGCTTCCAGACCAGTGACTCGGCAGTCTTTGTCGCACATTCGAGATGGCAGCCCCAAAGCTGCCGATTGTTGTGTATCGCGAACCTGATAGAAGAGGAATGTTAGGGCCTTCTAGGCAAAGATTAGGTAGCGGGAAGCGTAGATACAAAGCTCGTCAGATTCGTTTCCAAAGCTTTTAGTCTTTGGCAATGAGGAAGCACAGTTGTGACCTATGCCGGTCAGTGCATATTTAGACACCAGTTAAATCAGATACACGCGCCGTACATGGCCTGCATGTCCTTTTTCAGGGCAAGACTGATAGCACCTCCAGGCCAGAATTGAACATCCCGCTCTCGGTTGAGCTTCAACGCCAAAAGTTCAGGAAAATCAAGGACCGAAACTTTGTAACCTTGTCGGTCTCCCATCCTGAATCAGAACCACCTTTGCTCGTTAGTAAAATATCTCCTTGGCTTGAAACCGATACTTAAAACCCGTGGTATTCTAACGTGTATCCGAGCACCGTCTCACACGAAGAGCATTGACTGGAAGAGCAAAGGTGACAATATGGCATCTTGACAATCACTTTGGAGGTCTACCGGATCAAGAATTGGTGAGCATGGGTGGAGCCAATTAAAAGAAGCGTGACGTGACGCATCGCAGACAACAGGTGACAGGAATACAAGTGCCCCTTCACGGATTAGGGATCAGCCTACGGCTGGGACACAGTGAGCCTTAACCATTTTGAGTGTGTCACTAATCCCAGAAACCGAGTATTGAAGTTGGCCTTTATGGATACTGCTTGCATTCCCCTTGTCTGGAGATCTTCGCCCTTCATCCAAAACGTATTCATCCAAAACGTAGGTGAGAGGACTTGAAACCTTCGAGGTACATGGTTTTATGGATCGCATCGTCCGAAGTTGCAGGACAACCCAGCGGGTACTGAAAGCTCTGTCCGGCTAAGGGAAATTGTTCCTGAATGATTTGGGAATCCGACAGATTTGCCGCGATGTTCAGCGGAGTGGATGTATGAGCCGATCCCTTTTTCTCTCGGCGTTGACATCTGCTTCAAATAAGCATGAACCCGAGCAATTTTCATGATACGCCAAATTTACACGGCGTGAAACCCTTGCGTCATAAGTGAAATTCTATGACACGCAGTTTTGGCAGTCCGGCATTTTGGAACACACCGCACCGCACAAGACTCGAGTTGCTTGACAGGCAAGTCTTCTTTACCCGCATGCGTAGCCGATCTGGACTCTCGGTCACCGTGGATAAACGCTGAATCGTCTTTTTCGATTCAAATTCAAACCGAAGATCCAAAAGCCTCGGGGAATCTTTTGCCCTGAAAAGGCGGAGCTCGGCTTCTTTGGTTATATGGCCCCGGCGTTTTGCTGACGAGACTCTGCCATCGACGTGGATTGATGCTACCTGTGAAGGATTGCTGCAAGGTTTTTTCATAGGCACAGCTCGAGGTCCTATTGTCGGGGTCTCGAAAGTGATAAAAAAAAGTTGCTGTAGTGGCGTTGTGATGGCTCTTAATGTTATCAGCATGGAGCAAGAACCCACTTCCATGTTTTTTTCACCCATTCCGGTTGTCGAAGATGCGCACACAGCTTTCAGGGTCCGCCTGTGCCAGTTTTGGACAGAAAACATCGGTCGAAAATAATGGACGGGGTACTAGGTGGTCAAGTTTATGCCCAAGATCTTCGATGGGCATTCTAGACCACTGAGATGTCACCTGGGCAATATCGGGGGCACAACGGGGGTCATGTGTAATACCTGGCCACGGTAGTTAACTAACGTAATTTCACTACCGAGCTGGCCAAACCCCCGAGCTGGCCACCTCAACCAACTTCTTAATTTAAAATGTATTTATCTCAACCAAACCACCATTAAATTACACTAAAATGATCTATTCTCTAGACATGCATTTCGTTTATGACCCTGATTTTTACATAGCCCGCATGTTGGTAATGCTCTCGTTCGGGGCTATGACGGTGGCGAAGGCCTTCTCTGCCAGTGGGGGGGGAGGCGCTTCAACCGATTCAACCGGCTCAGTAATCAATTGAGAAGCTTCAAGAACTGAGAGGCCTTCTTTAGCAGGTATCTGCTTCCGGGATCTAGTACGCTTTTACTTCTACTTCTCGTTGGCGGCGCGTAAATCCTTGTTTTCTTTGGCGAGTAAGATAGCACCTTGCATTGTAAGACGGAAGCCTTTTACAAGCTGGTTTAATGCAAGATCTGACGGGCTAGGCGGGCTTCGAGATCTTGTACGAAGTAAAGCTTTGATTGATGAAGCTTGACGACGTAGTTCTTTCTCCGTAAAGGGGGGTTTTGGGGTAAAATTCCGGTTTGATTCACTCCCCCGGCTGGCTACGAATTGGTGGTATGGTGGGTGGTTGAACTAACTAAGATCTAACTCATGGACGCGTTTTGGTTGGGGTGGCCAGCTCGGGGGTTTGGCCAGCTCGGTAGTGAAATACGTTAGTTAGTTAGCTAACCTCTCCCAAGTACGAAGTTTTGGTGGCTGACGGAGGTTACCGTGGCCACTTTGATTGTTATATAACCAAGCGCTTTTCTACATTATGGCACACCTTTTGTAGTCTCAAGCCTGCCATACTAAATTGCATCTAATATCTCCAATCTCCATATTCACCAAAGCTACCAATGTATCTTTTACTGACTTCTCTATAGTCAACACAGCAGCCGTTCTTGGTAGGTTCCACAGATGTATGTGGTGAGGAACAGGGTATTCTGCGAAGTTATCTAGTAACTCCAATTGATAGCCCTTTAAGGACAGTGGCAAAGGAGTTAATTATACTGTGGTGACAAAGAGATCGGGGCCAGAAACGTAAATCAAACTTTAAAAGATAACACGACATGTCAAATCCATGGTACAGTGCGTGGCTGAAAACCGGCTGGAATCCCCGGAAAAATAATAAGACGGACCGCCACGATGGCGCAGCCCATCCAAATTGGATGGCATGTTTAGTCAGCTTTGTTCGCACAGATTGGAAAAGGAGCGGATTTTGTCAGTTGGAGAATTCAGAGGATTTTTTGCCTATAGATTGGTCGTCCCACACATTGTAGAAACCATAGATTTCCGTCATGACTAACTACAACATGAAGAAAGAAAAATATACGGAGAATATATACTCCGTAATTGAAAAAAATTACATAATCAGGGTGGCCACGGTAACCTCTCCCAAGGACTCCGTACGGAGTTTGGGTAGTTGACGGAGGGTACCGTGGCCAGGGGTTACCGTGGCCAGGTTCAGTGTGGGTACCGTGGCCAAGTGTTGCACAAGCCGTCAACTGAAACCCGCAAGATCAGGGAATGGATGATTAGAAATCGTAAATTGCTATTTTTGCAAGAATTGACAGACGAAAAGGGCATCGGGACAATCAACACCCCGATACTCATGTATATTGCAAATCAAGTGATGAAGTACTCCGCACAGTCAGTGGAGATAAGTCTATGATGCATAACCCCTAACCCCCCACTGAACTGACCGCCACTTTGAGAAATGGACCGCCTGCCTAAAATGGAACGCATGCGCCATGCTAAATTTGAACTCAGAGGGGATTTTGACCGGCAGTATATTATATAATCAATGAGGCATGGGGCCAGGGGTATAGAAACTGATGTCCAGTCTGTACTTCGTACTCCGTACTCCGTATGCATAGGAACGAAACATCTCGAAAGCATCCGAGCGTCTTTCAACTTTCCCGTTGGCAAAATGATTGATTGCAATTATCTCATAAAGTGGATCAAGACCGGATTTCATTCCCTCGACAGACTTTAGGCCGAAAAGACTACTGATCTACGGTGGAACTGGGTGGGCCTGGATTAATGGCGGTTGGAGCTTTCGAATATAAAAGCAGCCAAGTGCAGCCACTCGATACAGTTCATCTTCCAAATTGCACATATCACTACTACAGACATACGACCTTCTTTCATCATGTCTCCCAGGTTTCCGAGCGACAATGTCGATGTGTCATCTCTTGGGGCACCCTTGCAATTTGAATTCAGTCAGCGCAAAGCTCCAAATCGCTTTCTGAAGGCTGCTCTGTCGGAACGAATGGCGTCGTGGTCTCCGACTGATCTTTCGGCTCGAGGAATTCCCAGCCCAAATCTCATCAATCTTTATCGTCGGTGGGGAGAAGGTCAGTATGGACTGATCCTCACCGGTAACATTATGATTGCGTACGACCAACTCGAGGCACCGGGAAATATGATCATCGATCTTGAGAATCCATTCGCGGGTCAACGATTCGAAGCATTTAAGCAATTGGCCACGGCTGCCAAGAAGCATGGAAGTTTGATCGTTGGTCAGGTCGGCCATCCTGGTCGTCAGACATATGAGCGGCTGCAATCAAATCCAGTTTCGGCTAGCGATATCCAGCTCGTCATGGAGAATTTTGGTACCTTCGGAAAACCCCACGCAGCTACCGAGGAGGAGATTCAGGATATTATCCGCCGTTTTGTCCATGTAGCCGTGTACCTGCAAAAGGCTGGGTACGATGGCATTCAGCTGCACTCCGCCCATGGCTATCTCCTCGCGCAGTTCTTGTCTCAGACAACGAACAAGAGAACGGATAAATACGGTGGGAGCTTGGCCAATCGCGCACGGATCATTGTGGAAATCGCCCAGGCGATTCGTCAAGCACTCCCAGGTCCCAACTTCATCATTGGAATCAAGATTAACTCGGTGGAATTCCAAGCCCATGGATTTACCCCCGAGGAGTCAAAGGAACTGTGTGAGATTCTCGACCGCACGAGCTTTGACTTTGTTGAATTGTCTGGTGGAACTTATGAAGCTGGCGCCTTCCAGCACAAACGGGAGTCTTCGCAGAAACGAGAATCCTTTTTCTTGGAATTTGCAGACCTCATCACTCCTGCCCTCAAGCGCACCCGCAGCTATGTGACCGGAGGATTTCGTACAGCGTCTGGAATGGTCCAGGCACTGCAAACAGTTGATGGCGTTGGTCTGGGCCGTTCCATTACCCAGGAGCCTCTCTTGCCAAAGGAGCTGCTCGCTGGCACTGTTCAGGGTGCAATCCAGCAGAAGATTGATCTCCAGGACTTTTTCAAGACAAGCCGTGCCGCTGGCGCACAAATGCTGCAGATCGGTCAAGATGAACAACCAATTGACCTGAGCAACGATGCCAACCTAGAAGTTTTCATGAATGGCCTTGGGGAATGGGCTGAGCAAATGCAGAAAGACGGGGCTGCAATGAACATGTACGGTTATGCCCAGCTTCCCAAGGGTAAGCCATTCCAAAGTCAATTGTGAAAACGATGTCAAGTGAAGTAAATCATCTGGAGAGTCACGAATATACAGCAATTGTTCTCTTGCATTTGACGTTTGGTTATCTACGTACTTTTGCCACCATAGGGTATATCAGATTTTAATCCAATCTCCACTGGGCAAGAACATGAAGAATGTCCTTGTCTATCTACACCTGATTCTCGTTGTTGATCGATACATCCGAGCAATGCGTGGCTATTAGGGAATGTAGGGGTAAGCTCCGGCAACATCCACACAACTGTGCCGAGAAATGCTGATGTGTTCCCACATTGTTGGGGAAATTAATTAACAGGTGAATCTTTCCGAGCATTTGAAAAATCTTGGCCTACTGGCGCTGATGTTGTGGCAGCATATAATTAATCAGGATATCCCTCACGGTTGTTCTTCTCAACACCCGATCATTATCGACAACATGCACTTCCGGACCACAATGCTCGGTAGTCTAGCTATTCTTCCAGTGGCTATGGCTTCCCGGCATTTCTTCGATGCCACACCAGAGATATCGGCAACCGCCTACCGCAATGAGCAACCGAAAGTGATAGTCGAGACTCTCTTTCAATTTCCCACCATTGGCTCATGGATCGACAATATGGCTGTTCGTTCGGACGGCAACCTTCTTCTCACGCGTCTGGACACTCCTGAAGTTTGGCTTTTCAATATTACAAGCGGAAACGCGACCCTGGCCTACTCGTTTCCCAACGTCACGAGCTGCTTCGGAATCAGTGAAATCGACAACGATATCTTCGCAGTTGTTGTGGGTAATTTTTCTCCCAAAACCTTCCAGCCAGGTGCAGGCTCGTTCTCGGTCCATAAGTTGGACTTCACCAAGATCGATGCTGAGGAGAACGAGCGCGCGCTGGAATCGCCAAAGGCCTCGGAGATCGTCACCATGCCAGATGCTGAGGCTTTGAATGGAATGACTACATTCTCGCGTGGTTCAAATTTGGTTCTCATCGCCGATAGCCCCAAGGGAATAATATGGAAAGTGGATACCAAAATAGGAAATTATTCTGTTGCCCTGAATGACACGACAATGGCACCGGCAGAGGGCCAGGCTCTTCCCCTGGGTGTCAATGCATTGACAGTTTTTGGTGACTATGTGTACTATACCGGCACGACCCGAATGGTTTATTGCAGGGTTAAGGTGGACAAGGACGCGAATCCAATCGGAGATTTCGAGATTATTGCCAGTGGATTCCTGCCGGATAATATCGAGATGGCCGACGACGGCACTGCGTATTTTCCGACAGCTCCCCAGAATTCACTTGTGCGCCTCACACCTTCTGGGCAGATCTCCCTCGTTGCAGGTGGCCAAGTATCTACAGGACTGGCAGGTGCAAGCTCAGTTCGAATGAGCAATGACCGACAGATACTCTACGTTGGCACCAACGGTGGTCAAATTGCGCCCGTTTTTGGCACATTCATCGAGCCTGCCAAGATCGTCAAAATTGTACTCGAGGAATAAGATGACAGGTTTGAGAACGTGTTGATAGAATCACTGTGAACATTCGAAGACGACGAGGCACAAGAGTTTATGGGAACCTTGGAATACTTGTATGTTTTTGGATAGCCCATCAGACAATTTGACCTATAAAGCACTTTGATGCTGAACGTAAATACTTCTCTCCATGATGACTGAACATTTCAGTCGCTATAATTCATGCCTCAGGGTCAACTTGAAGGTTGGTGAAACTTGGCGGATTGGCAAACTGCACCAAATAGGGGTATGTCGTGGGAGATGAAATATAGCAGGCGACGATGGAGTTCAGAAAACTAGAATTTGCCATCTTGGGGTCTGACTCCAGGAACACGTTTTGTACCTCACCCGGTTGAAACCTCACCAAGCTCTCTCACCCCAATCAGTGCCCCTTGACACCTGAGGCAGCCATGGAGAAGAACAACAATTAGGTAAGCAGATTGGTCATTGACGTCACAGAGCTGATGTCCCTCCCGCGCACTTAGCAGTGGAATGATGCATTGCGGGACAAGTGTCGGTCACACTCTCAAATTTTCAACATCAAAATGCCTGGATACTTTGGCCAAAAGGTACTCAAGACCTTGGGTCTGAACGATCACGTTCATCAACAGAACTCTTCGGCCGTTTGGCTCCCAGGCAGACTAGCCGTGAACAACGATGAACGCGGATTGTCTTCACCTCCCAACAATGGCACATACCCTCGTCTCTGCAGGCTCTCAGATGGCACCATTCTCTCGTCCTTTACCCGATTCCCCGATGGACAACGCTCACTTCGTGTCGCAAGAAGTACCGACAATGGCCTCACGTTTGAGGACTTCTCCGAGGTAACTCGCGCTGCCGGTGACGTGGATAACATGTTTTTGTGTGAAGTGGCTCCGGGAACGATACTGGCGGCTTTCCGCAATCATGACAATGGTACAAATGGCCCCACGCACTTCCGCATCACTGTCTGCCGATCTACGGATGGAGGTAGGACATGGCAGTTCGCTTCACAGGCCACTGAAAAGCGCCCTCCTTTGGGGATCTGGGAACCGTTCATGCGCGTAGGGCGCCAGGGTGAAGTGCAACTTTATTTCTCGCAGGAATTCGCACACGATAACCAATGCACCATGCTGGTCGTCTCGCGGGATCAAGGAAGTACCTGGACTCAACCGATCTGTCTGCATGGTGACCAGGATCCGCTACGCGATGGAATGTGTGGCATTGCACGAACTTTTGATAACGGTCGTGAGGCTCTTCTCATGGTATTTGAGACCACCAGGTATGGACCGTTTAGTGTTGAAGCGCTTCTCTCTTATGATGACGGGGCCACATGGGGTTGGCGCCATGAAGTTTTCCGCCCACGGCAAGGTCATAATGCAGGCTCTCCTCAAATTGCCTCTTTTGCGGATGGGTCGATGGCTACGATATTCATGACAGACGAAGACTCTCATCACGTGGAATGGGTAAAGAATGCCTCTATCAAGGTCGTATTTGCTAGCCAGCCAGTTGAAGGCCGTGTTCAATGGAGCGCGCCAACCCTTGTCTCCCCGGCCTCCAGCTTCTGGCCTGGAATCATGGCTTTGGATCACCACAACGTGCTGGCCACTTATGATCGTGGTGGACCCCTTGCGAAGACCATCACCTGGCACCCCGCGTAAACATCTGATCTCGGAGAACTTTCAATCCTGCGAGAGTCTGAGATTGGTTTCAGGAAGTCCGTCCGCCACATTGTCTGTTGCTCAAGTGGGTAGATTTTTCTTCACACGATGCTTCGCTAGGCGACTTTCGTCTTCTTTGTAAACATTTTTTCGAGGCAACGTTTCGGGATGTGAATAATTGAATGCACAACATGCCAATTATGCCCTTTCTTGGTCAGAATTATAGGGCTCATCGTCCATTCCACAGCTACATACTCTTGCTTAACTGTATTCTCTCTTTTTGGTCAAATCTACTTCAGGAACCCGGCAGTCATCCGAGATCGCCTTCAACTTGTGCCTCATCCTCAGTAGTCCCACATAATTGACGTGCTTCAGATCGGATGCCGAGACTTGGAGGTGGCTTTCGGGTTTCGGCGGAAATAAACTACTCCGGCGGCTCGGAATTAGCCGAATGGGGAAATGACCTCGGAGTTAATCTGATAATCTGATCAGATTAAATAAGGGCCAGGACCATTTATAAAGGTTCTTCGGGGTAACGTTGGAACTTCCTTGAAAGACTTCATCTTTTCAAATGTCAACCTCACTACGGAATATTGTTGTGATTGGTGGCTCGTTCGTCGGACGTGTGAGTTCATTCTGCTGCCCAAGAGAGTGTTACTGCTAATGTCCATACAGACCACAGCTCAGGAGCTCGCACGCATCGTGCCTTCAACACATCGGGTCAGTTAACACCGAGGGACTACCTCAGACAACGGCTTATCTTCTTGTGTAGGTCCTCTTAACTGAGCCTCATAGCCACTTCCACCATCTTTTCACCTTTGTAAGTTGATTTCAAACCCAGTGCACGTTCATTCCAACAAATCTCCGGAGCTAATTTGGCCTAAAGCCTCGGTTTGCAATTGTTCCCGGACATGAGCACAAATCGTTTGTGCCTTACAGTGAGATCTTCAATGCGTCGCCTAACTCCTCCTCCCATGGCGTGATCCAAGCTCGCGTTTTGTCGGTCAAGCCCACCCATATTGAGTTGGACCGTGAATGGCAGGGCTTGAAAGAGATTTCATTCGATTACGTAGTTCTTGCGACTGGAACGCGTCTCTCCAAGCCTGCAGCCATGGACGAGGATGACAAGGCATCATCAATCGAGTATCTGCAGAAGCATCAAGCTGGAGTTGAGGCATCCCAGTCGATCTTGATTGTCGGTGGTGGTGCTGTTGGTGTTCAAATGGCGACCGATCTGAAAGAGTATTATCCAGAGAAAGAGGTGACCCTGGTTCAATCGAGGCCGCAGGTGATGCCGGGCTTCCACTCAGCCCTCCATGACCTTATTACGAGGCGATTTGATGAGCTGGGAATCCGTCTCATCACTGGGTCTCGAGTCATTGTTCCGCCGAGTGGATTCCCCAACGATGGCAGCACCTTTGATATTCAGCTCACAAACGGTACCACCGAGTCTACTCAATTCGTCATCTTAGCTACCGGACAAACCCCAAATAACCAACTAGTGGCTGACCTGGAGTCTTCCGACCCGGACGGCGGGTCGGTCCTCAATCCGGAAAATGGATTTATTCGCGTTAGACCCACGATGCAGTTCTTGGATGAGAAATATTCGAACCTCTTTGCCGTAGGTGATATTGCAGATACAGGGGCCCAAAAGGCCGCTCGTCCAGGCTCGGTACAGGCAGCAGTTGTTGCGAGAAACATCCAGGCTTTAATTGAAGGCCGCGCTGCTGGGGATACATATGTGAAGGGATCTGCGGCCATTCACTTGACACTCGGCATGGTAGGTCAACCAGGCCGTTGGGCCTTGACGAGATTTGACCGGGCTAAATGTCTCCCAGAAACACAACATGATATTCCGCAATCCCAATTCTGCAGAAGGTCAGACAGAACCTTGGATCAACTCAAAGGATGAGTCAGTTCGTTGCTTTCTTGCATCACCCCGGGAGACGCTAACATCTTCACCAGTGGCCGGGAGGATATGAATGTGGAAGCAATGTGGGAGAGGCTGGGTATTTCGGTTGAAAATCCTCGTCAATACTATTTGTAACGCTTTCAAACATGAGGAAAAGAGATTAAACACAACGATGCCACCTTCAATTTACATTCTTTGATATTATCAAGCAATCAATGAAAGCTCAATTTACTTGCTGCACTCTAAATAGTTGCGCATGCTATGAGGAGGCAATATGTCATCTTATAATTGCCTTCAAATAGCTAGCATGTAATAAGAACAATAAACCTATCTCTACCTACTGCAATTGCCTCTTTAGCCAAATATAACCTCTCTAATGCCTTATATACTCCTCTCACAGAAGATGTAAGGCTGATCTAATATAACTTCCCTACACAATATTATAACTAACCTACTATCAGGCTATCATACATAATCTGCGAAATTGCTAACAAATAATTTATCTCGGTTTCTCGGGACTTCTACCTATCAAAGGGCTTTATGTATAGGCTATTAATCATGGAGACTAGTATAATTCCAAAGTGTAGAGGACCATAATACATGTACCACTGCAACCAAGTCAATTCCATGACTGATGGGTAACTGCTTGGAGTAGTGGCAGGCGGATCTCACTACTTTAATCTTAAACAAGAAATATCGAAGCCCAATCCTTGATAAGTATATCTAGATTATGATTATCTATAGTGGCTTCATTCGTCTTTCGTATGACCAGACGGTCGCTGTGGGATTTGAACTACCTGGATGACTCAAGGCACGAACGTACTGAAGATGGACGTAGGTACGCAAGTGTCCTATGAGTTTAAGAAACGAGAGGTGATTAGAAGTAATGGTAACTGAGTTTATGGCAACGACTGCTATGAAAATCTCGTAATAGATTCATAGCGGCAGAAGGGACAAAGCAACAACGGCATAAAGGCCACAATGTGGCAAAGAGAGGCCTGTCAACCCGAATGCGAGCAGGCAAACCCTCAATGCAGATATGCATTTTGTACAAAAGGCAATAACCAAGAATATCCAAGAGCGCGCAAACATCAGAGGACAAAAAATCAAGATTCAACGCTTAGGCTTGAAGCCACAGACTTATTTACTTCAGATGCAGTCGACGCTTCCACTTGGTTTTACTCTTGGTCATGGCGCGCTGGGTGCGCTCGAGCGGGTAGTTGATAGGGGACTCACCACCAGTAAAGATGAAGAAGTCATACAGGAAAGCGCCAATGAACCCACCACTGAGAGCCCCAGCCCAAGGTCCATAGAACCAGTATGGGTTGGTGAACAGGGTGTTGGGAAACCCCACCGCCAGCAGTGCAAGCCGAGGACCAAAGTCGCGACTCGGGTTAAATGCCGCTCCAGTTTGGTAGCCAAAGCACATACACAGACAAGAAATGACCAACCCAATGATGAGCGAGTTCATTCCAGCGCCGGGTGGGGCGTTCTGGTCGTCACCAAGAGCCAGGACTGTCACGATCAAAAAGGCGGCACCGAGAAACTCGTTGAAGAACGCCGTCGCAGGACCAATCCATACTTCACGTGAATTGGTCACGAAGCTATTGATGATACCGGTGTCGGGGTTGAGGTGGAGGTAGTTCTGAATGGATTGGTAGTAGATACCATACGCAGCCAGACCAGCGAAGAAGGCACCTAAGAACTGAGCAGCGAAGTACTCGGGCATCTTGCGTTTAGGGAAACCACGGAAGAACCACAGTACCATCGTCACAATTGGATTCAGGTGGGCACCGGAAACACCACCACAAATGTAGATGCCCATCATGGTCGCCAAGCCCCAGCCCCAGGAGGTGGTATTAGGGTTTCCCTGATTGGCGACAGTGACCGACAAGTCGACACAGAAGCCCAAGGTGAGCTGAACAAATACACCAAGCGCCTCGGCGAAAGCCTCCCGGTGGTGGGTACGGATCACAGACCAGACGGTGTGGTTGTTGTGTACTTCATCCTCGATCAAATCCTGCACGAGCGGGTGCATATCGTCCGGGTAACCGGACTTTTCTAGTTCCTGGGCACTCAAGAGTTGATCCAGCTTCGCACCTAGGTCTTGATCTCCTAGTTCGTCACCGACCCCCGACCGCTCCCCTGGTTCGTCATCGAGTTGGGAATCTCCTTCCGGGACAGTCGACAGTTGATCTAGAGGCATTTCCCCCACCGTAGGGCGTCTTCGCCGCACCGACGAGCTACGCGACATGCGCGAGGGCTGTCTGACAGAGGTCCCATCCCCGGCGAGTATCTTGTTCATAAAATTGGTCTCTCGCTGCAAACGAGCATCGTCGACCTGTGCATTCATCTTCCGCGGGTCGGCAGTCTTATCAATGCGCCCCTGCTCGACGTCATTTGCGTCGACGTCGAGATTGAGTCTGTCCGAGTTCTCCGTGGGACGCTGGGCGTTTGCTAGGTTCTGCAAGAGCTCTTGCTTGGTCGGCACCATTCCCGGCCGCACCACACGGGGCAGCGGCTTGGCCAGTGACCAGACCGGTCTGGCATTGGATGGCTGTTCATAAGAGGGATTCAAATCCGCATAGCCCGGTTGGACAAAGGGCTCCTGAGCCGAGCGCAGCTGGAGCGTTTCCTCCGGTCCCGCTAGGGTGAACCTGCCCTGCGTGCGCTGCGCGAGAGTGGTGAGCGGAGCCAAGCTGGGCACTCTGCTCTCACTACTGCGTCTTGAGGCAAACGAGCCTCGTCGCCGGGCACCACTGTCCTCAACAGCACCGTTGGTTCTCGTGGGTGAGATGTAGTCCGTGTCACTGGCATCTCGGTTCTGGCCCGGTGACTGTGGGGGCTGCGCATCAGACTACACTCCAAGAGACGGTTAGATCTTCACTTCTTTCCGTGAGCAGGCTTCAACTCACTGTCGTCCTTGCACGACCACTCTCCCCATCCATCTTGAATTACTCTTCTTTGACCGAATCTACCGGGATGATTGGCCAAGTTGTAGGGATTCCGGCAAAGAGACGGGCAGCGAAATGAAAAGAAACAGAGACAGGGAAGGACCAACAGGAAAGCGTTTCACCAGGGGAGGACTGTGGACCCATTCACTACCCACACCCACACGAGAGAGAAAAAACTCCTTCTCAAGTGGAACCGCCCCCGGTGAACTCCTCACTCAGCGTGCACGATGGTGGCCGGTGGAGGAGGTAACTGGGCGACGGCACTTGGTGGTTCCTGTCCTGGTCCACCGAGTGGGCTCCACAAAAGCTTCTGTTTCCTTGAAGTGTTTTCGACGCTCTCGAGCATCTGTGCCGTCATAACCGCTTTCCTTGCCTAGCATTTCTTGGTGCACCAGGTGGACCTGTCCGTGGGCAAATCGTGCGGTGTGCAATCTGATCTGTCAGCGGAGAAGGGCACGTCAGGTCAAAACGGTCGCACTCTGTGAGAGACCCGTCCAATTCGGGGTCACTCCGTCTCCATGCGCCGAATGAAGAAGGTCTGCCCGTGTAGTGACAGACCGGGCTGAACGTCTACGATATAGCTTCATTGCGAAAGCCCTTGAGCCAGATCCGTGGGCGATGTTCCCCGGTTGCAGTATTCTCACACAACCATCCACGGGGTTCCTGTGTGTTGTATGACCGGCATTCGCCCAATGAACGAATTGCTACATCCAGAACTAGTTTCTCGGTATTCCCCCGATGTCGATGGAAAACTCATCAATCCGCCACAGATGAGCCAATGTAGGGAACTCCACCTGGATTCAAATCTCGAACTATGGCGCACAGTTGGGTCTACCACTTTTTGCCACGCAAGTTTCACATCAAGCTTCTGGGCTAATTAAAATGTGGCTGCATCTCAGTTTCGGCATTTTCGTCTATGGACTCTAGATGATTGGTGGGACCCACCGGTGTGTCCACCGAAGGGGCGTCAGTGCCCTTGATATGATGACAGAACTGCCGATCCCACGAAGGGCATTTTGATCAATCAAAATCAAATGGTGAAACTGGTTTCACGACCTGGAAGTCAGGAAAAGGGTTGTTGGGTGAAAAAAAAAGGGGGGAGAGTTCATTTCGGGGAAATTCGGGGGCCTTGGACGGACACTTCTTTGACCACTGGGGATGCATTTACAAGGCTCGAGATCAAATGAGGCCAATTGACGATTATGAGAAATAGACCATCTTGGGTACTTTTCACAGAGAGAGGTCAGTTGACATCCAACATAGAGAGCCATCCCATATCTCTATAACCTGTTGACTGTTAAGACACCCCCGACGTGGCCTTCCAGGTCGATGACACCTTTTTGATTTCCACTCGATCTTTTGTTTTTCTCTTTTGCTAAATTCCATCACAAAATGGCAAAATGGCAAAGTTGCCTCTGAGCGAGACTGGTCACAAAGGCTGAGCACACGTTCGACACTAGGGTCATTTCCACTTGAGGGTAGCACGATCTGTCTCTATCATCCTGTTTGACCTTGAGGGTCGCATGATCGGATTCGGAGTTGTTTTAAGCTGAGTTTCTCGCGTCACAGCTTCATTTTCGTCTTTGGCTAATACCCATCGTCTTCGATTCTAACGTGTCGATTCTAACGTGTCGGAATTGCTGGAGAAGACCTGTTTGGTGCATAAAGTTGACCACGTAGCGGGTGGCCTGCGGGTTCGAAACGATCTTATCGTAATCCATATCGTTGATCCCAATATCCCATAATTGCTTCTAAAGCTTTATACGCGGAATGGTATACCGGGGACACTGCATCAGGATATATTTTGGCGTCTGCGAGCCCTCGTCGCATAGACACCGGTCTGTCTTAGCGGCCTTACTTTTGAACACGAAATGTCGCTGCCCGATCCGCATTGTGCGTATCTGAATCAGAATAGCGCATTGCGGCTTCGACAGCCCTTCGTATAGTCGAAGCGTCTTCTTGTTCGGCGCGGAAGTCGTTTCCCGCTCCCACTGCCGCTCCCACCGCTCTCTAACTCGTTGGCGTACTGCTCTCTTGGCTGCTGCGGCGAGGCGGATTATCGATTTTCCCGGATCGCCGCTCCCGGTCGTAGCTCCTATCCCTGCGCCAAGAAGCGCTGTGTCAGGCCGATACCTGACCCACCCTCAGCGAGTCAGCTTCCCCTCCAGAGATCCTTGCCTGATGCCTTCCAGATGGACCACTTTACTGATTTCCGACAGAAGGGAAAATCCAAAGGACTTAAAGCAAACTGATGGGTGAAAGAGATAAACTGAACTCCTAGGATGGATTCTTCTCTTGGGAAACTAATAAAACAAGAAGGGTAGGAACATATACAGTGACTATTCATACAGTCACTACGCAAAAGTTTCAACGCCCCTTTGGCCCCACCCATATACCGCCTGCCTTTATCGCCTATACCGCCTATATAAGATGAACTGGTAGACCTCATATCTCTCGAGTTCAAGTCACACTCCTTGATATTTTGATACATTTCCCCAGTATGATGCCTAGCTTTGTGTAGACAATCATTAAAAGCCAGAGATATTAATGTACAACGATATTGCAGGAAATATTTTGACCGGCAGTATTTATTATATAATCAAGATGGTGTGGGGCCGGGGTGTTAAAACTTATGAACAGTCACTGTAGTCCTGGCCCGACGGCAATACTGACCGCCTCCGGGAGGCGGTCATTTAACTCCGTCCTAATTGCTATTCCAACACATGATGATAAGGACTATTCCCCCTAAAAAAAAAATCTTTCCTTCCGACACGCTGCACCTTTTGCTTCAGTGTCGGCATATTCATTGCCGCTCACCCCAACGTGTGCGGGGATCCACCTGATAGTGACTATCGTTGGTTCTTGTTGGACTTGGTTCCGCGACAGGATAGCCCGTATATGGTCGTAGATGCGGGTGAGAATGTATTGGCCGGATGGTCGCTTTGGGTTTTGTACCGCTTGGATAGCGGCTTGGCTATCAGAGAAGATGATCACTTCTCGTGCCTGTTCCTTTTTTGCTTTGGCGAGAGCCATCTCGATCCTCACCGGCCCGCAGTGGGCGTGCCCACAAACCGCCAAAGAAACAAGGAAACCCACGCAAAGGAGACTCGGTGGATGGGCGCCGACCGAGGCAATT